GAACCATAGACTTTCCGGACAATAATTTAAGCTGATAACTATTATATTAAGCATGCAGATTCATGTAACTAGAGAAGTAGTTCTTACCCTTTAATCCTCTAGCCCCTACTAAGTATGCAACATTATAATCAAATGCCCTACAAGTCACAGGTTTAAAAAATGCATGTAAAAACAACACGCCAGAGGAGGCAACATTTTTATATAGCTACAGATAAATTTGCTATATGCATTGCTACACAGATTTCAGATGGAATATGAGGTTATGGATTCTGGAAACTCATACATAGAAGGGAGAAATAAGTTCTCAAAAGTGCCAATTTTCGCTTGAGTTCAGTTAGCTTTTTTTTTTTTAAAGGACCTGTTTCTCCCTTTTCTTTGTTACTATGACAGTGCCCTGGCCCCCTTGGGAATGTTTTTCAGGATTTTGTATATCACCTCCTGGAGGGATGTATGGCTTGACTAAATGTTGTTGACCTAACACCTTCTGAACTATGTTTGCATTTTCAAATGAGCTAATGTTCTGTGTGTTTTCTTTCTTTCAGGTATACTCTAGTTATTTTAGTAGCAGGGATAGTCCTGTCATTAGACAGTGTGAAGTAGATGCCTCAGGCAGCTGATTTTGGAATTTATGAAAGGTAGCATATTGACAGATATGTAATGTAAATTTAGGCTGTCAGGGAGGGGTGGCGGTACTTCTAGTATTTGTGTGTGTGCCTCAGGTGCCAAGGTAACTTGATCAGCCTTGGATCAGTGTATCTTCATGTCATCCTACAATCTCAAGGTCCAAGTAGGTTGGTATCAGCAGAGGTGTCTTCTCGGGTACCTAGGTCCTAAGTTATATAGGGCTTTAGATGTCAACATATGCCAACCTTAAATTGGTCATGGTCACATATAAATGTATAGCAATACAAGAATTGGCATTCTCTGAGCAACATAAAATGTTAAGTATATTCAAAAAGTAAATTTATTCATATTAGCAATCCCCCTCCCCATAATATTTGGAGTTTAGGTGGAGCACAAACTCAGAAGTTGGTGTTAGGTGCAGAATTCAGCATTCTGAGTTTCAGTGCCTTATGGCAATGGCAATAAGCTTAAAACCATGTGCAATGCCTAGTGAAATAACAGATGATGGAGAAGGGTTTGTGTAGGCTATCTAGGGCTGGGGACAAGACACAATTCATTGCCTATTTCCATGATTAGCAGGAACAGAATGAATTGCAGCATGTGCTTAGTTTCTAATAATGTATGCAAGTAGTTAAATTCAGTTTTCTTGATGAATTTGGCCTATTGCTTATATTTGATTAATAGTGGTCTTATAAGCCCAGTTTAACTACGAGATTTTTGTGGTATGTTCCTTAACATTGTAATGAACAATCCTGTAAGGTGCTCGCTTTTTATATAACCCCTATTGAGGTCATTATAGGCTGGGGAAGATGTGGTGGTGGGTATGGATGTGTCATTTAAATGAGTGTTGGTCAAAAATTTAGTGGTTGTTCCTCTTTCTGGTTTCTCTCCCATCCTTTGTGACCATAGTTGCCATGTTAACAAGCCATCAGCCCATGTGGTACTGTTGCTGAATGAAAGGTTGGTTCATAATATAACACAAATCAGAAGGAGCCGCCTGGCCTGAATTGCTGAAAGTTGGGTGGATGGCTGGAAGGTGTCTATTTGCCTTGGTTGCGTCTGTCTGAATTCTTAATGCAACACAACACTGCAATAATCTAAAGTCTCCTTTCCAGACTTCCTGCCTGGGAGCAAATTTTGAATGTTTCTACTTGGTGTTGGACAGTAAGACAGATTAGGGACTCTTGTTGATTTACCACTCACCACACTCTTCAGCAGTCTTCCTGCCTGGAGCTGACAGAGGTTATCTCTGAGGTAGTGTTGAGGACCCTCAGGATGTTGCCAAGGCTGCTTTGTGAGGATTTTATGGCCACCATGACAAATGACAGCAATTTGCCCCAGCATATCCTTGGCCTAATTTGAAGAGTGAGGAACTTCATTCATGGAGGCCAAATGCCAGCCCTCCAGGCTTCTGTGTCTGTCCTGGGGTGAGATAGGGCAGGGCTTAGACTGGTAATAGGGCTATAAGAATGTAGAGCTCTGATGTTGCTTCAGCAAGAAACAAACAGGGTGAGCTGTGTGTAGTAGCAGCATCTTAAGAACTCTACAGGCTTTCCTGACAGTACCCTATCTCACTTAAGTGACAGGTAAAAACTGCTTTTATCTGCACAGGCCGTCAAAGCTTAAGAGATTCAGATTTTTAGCATGAAATCTTCTGCATCTCCTTTTTATACTAGTTTTAACTTCCTCCTGTTATTTGTTTTCCTGATTTTGGTATATTTTATGCTTTTATTTATAAACTTCTCTGAGAGCACAGCAGAACAGCCAAAGTGCGCTTATAATAAATAAACAATATTTCTACATGTTGAACATAATTCTGATTCCAGCTTTCAGAGCAACTTTTTAATGCCTCCCCCTTTCTAAAAAAACTAAAAAAAAACTTGTATTGCTTTATATTGTAGAACCGTATACTATTTATTCAGATTGCTTTTTGTACTAAAACCCAATTAAATTAAAGTATAAATATATTCTTCCAACTTCTATTTTGTAATTTCCCCCCAATGGAGCTATTTTAAACCTGTGCAGTAGTTGGAAGGTCTTTTGTAGTACAGTAAATGCAAAAGAAGAAAATTGCATGAAAACACCAGATGTGGGTATGTTCTCTATTGAAAAGAAGTAATTATATTCAATTAGTTCAAACCTGTGATTTTGCTAATGTTAAATGCATTGCTTGAAATGTGTTTGGGGGAGGGGGACACAGTTGAGAAATCATCAGTGTGGCACATTTAAAAGGTCTGTGTGTGTGTATATGTGTGTGTGTGTCGTTCTTTGCATACTAATATATGCACTGTAGGATGTAAATACAAAAGTTTACATAACCTGTGAAATAAACAGAAGGAAAATATTTTAATCTAATTGCCTAAAGGTTTTCTATAGGAGGTGAAAATTTTGAAGTAATTTGGTATTAGATGTGCTTTAAAAGTACCATTTTAATTGTTATGCCTCCATACTCTAGTAAAACCAGTATGCATAGATGCAGATGCTGTGATTAGAAGCAATATGTAACCTCTCCTCTACATTACTTTTTGAAGATTTTAGCATTAGACCACACTTGACTACCCTTCCCATACAATAAGAGCAAAACAGGCTTTCATAAATGTTGCTATTTCTAGGGTGTACTCCTTGTTCAAGTGGGATGAGCATGAAATAATTTTTCACCTGCTTACATTAATTTTCTTTTGTCTTTGTCCATGTAGAATTATACCCTCAGAAATAAAATATAACCCAAAAGTTTATTTGAGTAGAAACACAATATAATATTGATACTAAAAGAAGAGAAAGCAATCATGTATGCAAATGCAGGGACAGAAGCTTACATGTGCAAATAAAAGAAACTCTCAGTGTATACCTAATATGGTATAATTAGATTCAATTTCTCAAGTGTGCTACTTCCATGGGTTGATTGTGTACATTCTCTTGAGCATAATTACGGCAATCACAAAAATTTCATTGAGTTCAGGTTTTTTTTCTTTTTATTACTTTTACATAGCTGTGTAGTGTGTTGTAAATCTGAAAAGTTGTGAACCTGACCTGGCAGCATTTTAAACTTCAGCTCCTGTTAGTATATGACCCAATAAAATAAAACTGACATGTTTCCAACTCCTTTTCTTGTCTCTCACATCACCCTCCTTTCTTAATTCCGACAGCTACTTTACTACTCCTTTTAAAACTTCTTTTTCACTGTGGCTAGCACCACCCTTCTGCTGTTTGTTTGTTTTTTGTGTGATTCTTTTGACAGCCAGATTATCATAATTTTGGAAATTCTGTCATCCTAGATTATATCTGAAAAATCTGGGTAATTTGTGTGGAGATTTAGCTGCACCGTTTTTAAATTCTCATGTAATATTAATCCAATTTCCTATTGTGTGCTGCAAAACCAGTATCTCATCAGATTCTTCTGTTGTGATGATATATTGGGTTACATTTTCAAAGATGATGGCATGCTTCATCAGAACCCATTATTTGTGGTGTGGTGTTTGATTAAAATTATTTCCAAATATATATATATATATTTAAGAGTGTGGTATTGTTTTATGAAGAAATAGGATTATTGAATGTTACACTGAAATATTCTTTTGTGGCCAGTTAGTTGGGTAGGAGTTCTTTTAAGATTACTGTCTCTGTCCACTTGCTGAGTAGTTTTTTTTATTGACTATAAATTTTGAGTTTTAATATGCCTGAGGAAAGGTGATCTGATGTGTATGTTGTATTATAACAGGCATAATTTTGCACCAGGCAATCCTCCTGTATATGAGAGAAAAGGGGGAATGGAATCGTTTTTTTAAATGATACTATATTATTAATTGTATGTAAAATATTTTTCAAAAAACTGCTGCTCAACTAATCTCAGTACATTTTTAGTCAATTCAAAAGTTGTGTAATCTATTTATTGATTTAAATTTTGCAGTTCTCTTGTAATCTTCCAAATAATATTATCTGAAGAACTCCACTGCTAGTTAGTTGCTTGCAAGTGTGCTTTGGACGTAATGTTTCATGAGCAACTGCTTCCTTCTCTCTCAGATGGGAAACTACTTTTGAAACAAAGGAGACTTTCAAAAACAGTCTTTGATAAAAGGGATGTGACTACAGTTTAAACAGTGAAAAGGATATTGACTTTATGAACCAAACACTTTCAGCATTCTTAAAGTAGCTCTTTGGACCCAGCCTATGTATTTTTGATCTGAAACTTTCAATTGTAATAGAAAATGCAATGACCAGGTGTGAGCAGATGGACTGAGTGGTACAGCCTTTCTCCTAGTAGCATATTATATCTATCGGTACTATTAAAAATAGATATTTGGCTTTTAACATTTATAAATATCTGCTAATTTAATTATTTTTATTCTGTATTATAAACAATCGCTTATATTTCACAGGCCTCGAAGTAGAGGAAAACCTGCAGTGGAGGATGAAGACAGCATGGATGGTTTGGAGGCAGCAGAAACAGAAAACACTGTGGAAACTGGTAAAGGCACATGTAGTAGCAATGCTTTCATAAATTTTGGGAATATGGGCTGTTTTCCTAGCATATATCCATATGTAAGGAAAAACAGATATAGAAAATGCAAGTAGAAATTGTATCTTTTTTTAAAAAAAATGTTTTTTTAAAGAAAAGTGTAGTTTGAGAAGGGTTAAATTCAGTGGGCTAGCAGTTGTTGAAAGTAATAGTAAAAGCATATTCAATACACTTATCTCTATGGAAAAAGAGCACAAAAGATTGAAGAAAACAGACATGGAATATTTTTAAATAGCTTAAAACCAAAGTGGAAAATCAAAGAAAGGACAGGTTATTAAGACTACATTTGTACCTGACTACAGATGTAAATCAATTTTCAGTCTCCTCCACCTCCAGCATCCTGGGTACTGATTTTTATTTTTTTTAAATTGGTCCTTCAGTGCAATCATACATTGGACAGTGTGCTTGTGCAGAACAGAATATAGGAAGATACTTCAATATAGGCAAAAGCCAAGGCCACTGTCTCTTTGCTTCTAAATGATGATGACCTTAGCAACAGCAGCTCCTCTATGTCTGCCTAATAAGTCTTAGAATGTTGCTTCCATGTTTCTTTATAGATGTCTGATTGACTTGCTTTTCTAAGTGAGGAGGCTTGTGGAACCTCCCAAAGCAATGACTTCCAATTCCAGGCACTGCTGCAAAAAGATCTTGTTCCAACTTCCTCTTTCTCATCAGGCAGCATGTCTAAGAGTAGCTCAGTAACAATCTTCAGAAGTAGGCTGAAAGTTTTCAAAATAAAGTTAGATTTTTTCCCCTAGGAAATATCAGTCTGGTGTAACACAGTAGTTAAAACTGATTGCTCATAAAGATTCTTCCAATTAAAAGCTTTTGAAGTTATTTAAAGGTTTGGTTCTCTTGAGACTACATTAAAATGCTTATGCTAGCTATTTGAAGCAGTTTACAAAACAGAGGCAAGAAAAAGTAAAGTAGTTTTTACTTTTAAAGTTTATGTGTGGATATTTTCAACAAAATTCTATTTGAAGAATTGGCTGTTGCAAATTCAATAGAAATTGAATTTTATAATTTAATCCTTTAATCCTTGCCTTTCTCTTCAAATCCTCATAAACCACTTAACTCTTCTTTATGGTCATTAATCCTTCCTGTTGGTCTCCTCTATACTTTTTGAGACTCTGTTATAACTAACAAGATCTGTAAACTGAGAACATCTTATGCATCAGATTAGTGTTGCCTTTGAATGTTATAGGAAAGCACCTTATGATAAATCCATCAAGATTAAAGTAATTCCATTTACAGCATCCATCTGTATTCTTCAGTACAATGAATGGTCTATTTTGTCAACCAAAATCATTTAATCATCCTCCCAATGCATATAAATACCCAGTTTCAGTGTCTGAATACAGATGATATAAAATTAGTTGAAAGAGGTAAAACCATATATCTGATAAATATATGACAATGGCCAATTCAGTATTGTCTTAACCACTTGAGGAGGGTAGGTCCTCTGGAGCAGTTTTAGCTGGTTGCAGAAAGTTAGGGTTTAGGTAGATGCAGAGTGGAGAAAAAGAGACAAAAATTTGCTTCCTCTCAACAGGTTTATGAGGTAGGAAATATTGTTGACTGGATGTGTTCAATACAACTATAGTGAAATCTTCAGAATGGTGATGATTTGCCTTCCATGAGCTGTCACCCGCCATTGGCTAACTTCCATTGCTTTGTATATCGTAGCCTTCGTGCTGATCCGATAAAAAATCAATCTTTTAAAAACTAAACTAAAGACTTGAACATCAAGTCAGTCACTGTAACAGATGGACATCTTGTGTGATCATTGAGCCATTCAAGGTGTTGTCATTTTTTTTCATGGAATATCTCATTGAGTTTCTTGTAGTTGTACTTCAACCACATTGTATGCTGCCTGACTGTAGTTTCTAGTATTGTATTTATGTCTTAAGTGGAGAATTATTTAGATTGCATCATAGGAAGATGTTTTCTTACTATAGGATTTGCATATTTCCTTTGCTTACTTGAGGACTAGTAAATATATTACACTTTATTTTTGTTATAATAACACCCTGGGCGGCTCCCAATCAGTGTTAAAAACAGTACAGCGTTACATATTAAAAACTTCCCTGAACAGGGCTGCCTTAAGATGTCTTCTGAATGTCAGGTAATTATTTATCTCTTTGACATCTGATGGGAGGGCGTTCCACAGGGCGGGTGCCACTACCGAGAAGGCCCTCTGTCTGGTTCCCTGTAGCCTCACTTCTCGCAATGAGGGAACCGCCAGAAGGCCCTCGGCGCTGGATCTCAGTGTCCGGGCTGAACGATGGGGGTGGAGACGCTTCTTCAGGTATACAGGACCGAGGCCGTTTAGGGCTTTAAAGGTCAGCACCAACACTTTGAATCGTGCTCGGAAACGTACTGGGAGCCAATGCAGATCTCTCAGAACCAGTGTTATGTGGTCCCGGCGGCCACTCCCTGGTTAACATGCTCCTCTGGTTTATTTATTTGGTTGCAGAAGACCTAATCTGAAACCTTTTCCGGAAAGGTGCTATTGCAATCACACAGGACATAAATTTATTTTAATTAACTGCCATCAAATAAATGGTTTAATACCAAAGGTTACATATACCTAGTAACGTTATGCCTTTCAACAGTTTGAAACATGTTTTTGGATCAGTTTAAACTAACCATTTTCCTCTTATGCTTTAATGCAGTTGTTATCAGTAATATGGCAGTTGGCTTCCTTTCCCCTCCTCTGAAATGTCATATTATATCCTATGCTTTATAACATATGTATGTTGAATTTTAAATTATACCATGTTATTAGCTGCAGTACTTTATAGCAATCTGTAGTTTATCTGTGTAAAGGTAAAGGTAAAGGTACCCCTGCCCGAAGGCCAGTCGTGTCCGACTCTAGGGTTGTGTGCCCATCTCACTTAAGAGGCCGGGGACCAGCGCTGTCCAGAGACACTTCCGGGTCACATGGCCAGTGTGACAAAGCTGCTCTGGCGAGCTGGCACCAGCGCAGCACACGGAAACGCCGTTTACCTTCCCGCTAGAAAGCAGTACCTATTTATCTACTTGCACTTTTTAGGGGTGCTTTCGAACTGCTAGGTGGGCAGGAGCTGGGACCGCAGACGGGAGCTCACCCCGCCGCGGGGATTCGAACCGCCAACCATGCGATCGGCAAGCCCTAGGCGCTGAGGATTTACCCACAGCGCCACCCGCGTCCCTAGTTTATCTGTGTACTGTATTCCAATTTGATTTTGCTTTTCACTAATTAGACTTGGTCCTGCAGTGTGCCTAGGCTTGCTGTTGTTGCAGACAGCAGAAATCCTATGGAGGAAAAGACCTGAATGCTGTGATCTATTGCATGTTATTCAGTCTGTTAATTATTTCCTCACTTCATTTGCATATGCCCAATAGCGGGGGAAAAGATGATTTAATGAAAGATGGAACTATAATAGTCCCTATGCACTTATCACTACAATTCAAATAATTTGATATGTAAAATTTAAAACATCACAAAAATTGTGGTGTGAAACTTTAACATGAAGCCCTTCAACCTGTAAAAGTTCAGCAGCAAATTTGGGATATTGATGAAATAAGGATAATTAAATTAAAAGTTGCTTTATCACTATTTGTGTTTCAGTACCAAAACTAACTTTAGAAGAACTTGTGGACATAGAAATGTTAAATCTGAATTTAGCTTTCTTTTGTAACATTTAAATTAAAGTTGCAGGCAAAATTATTTCAAAGTAGTTTTTTATGCTTTTGAAACAATATCTCTATGTGTCTAGTTTATTAATTTTGTGGCCCTTGTCAGTATTAGTCATAACTAAATGGTGACATTTCTGTTTTTAAAACTGTCATTATAAATGATTTAAGAGATAAAACATATTGTTATAGGCATAGTCAGAATTAAAGTACAGTGGTACCTCTACTTATGAATGTGATCCGTTTTGGGGTGCCTTTTGCACCCCGAAAAGAAGTAGAGTGCCACTACTGCATGTGCGCGAAGCACGCAGATTGCTTCTGCACATGCGCATGCCGTGAACCCGAAAGTGTTTACTTCCGGGTTTGCCGCATTCGTAACCTGAAAAGCTGCAACATGAAGCAAATGTTAACACAAGGTATGACTGTATCAATAAGTACGGAGGGTAGCATATGTTTCCACCTAGATGTCGTAACTGCAATGTTTTTGAATACAAACGTAAAAACAGATTATGTGCATAGGACAATGCTGTGCCAGATTCTCCTAACACTTAAAAGTATGATCTTTATTCAACTTACTCTCTTTTGTCAATCAGAAATCAAGGAACAATCTGCAGAGGAGGATGCCCAAACTGAAGTGCATGGTGACAAGAAGCTAACGCCAGTTCTTCAGCGCTCAGTGTCTGTGGAATCTGCAAGCTCCATTGCCTCTGTTGGTGTTGAAGCAAAAACCAGGTTAGAAAGAGAAACAGGCAGATGCTGAGTCAGTGGTGGGGGAAGGGCTGGGATCTGAACAAACAGCACAGAAAATGCTGGGACTTATTCTTTGGCGATCACGCGTAGCCAAGTAAGTTTGTATTCCATGAACACAGTCTTAACACTGAGTCCGTAAGTGACTGTGGAGGCCAATTCTGGATCCACACATCCTTCCACAGTGGGGTCATAGGTTTAAGGGCGGGAGTTGATCACAGTGATGGTTTGTCAAACGTGCCTTCCACTTAGCACATTTCTCCCTTTCATCCTGAGTTTGAGCAATCTTCAAAGTCCATGACACCTTTGGTAAAGGCTGTTCTCTAATTGGAGTGCTCGCAGGCCAGTCTTTCCCAGTTGTCGGTGTTTATACTACATTTTTTTGGATTTGCCTTGAGAGAGTCTGGGACTACACTCTTTGCAGCATCATTCTATTTTGTAGCATTAGGCTGTGCTGGCAACTGCTGTATTTGAGATTGATGACATTGTATGTAGGGGGAGCAGGAGGAGAAAAGCATGTTTGCTAAATGTTGTCATGTATCAACCAACTTAAGTGGGTGTTATCAGTGTTGTAAGATATTGATGCAGCAGATTAAAATGCTCCTGGAAATTTGTGTGTGGATTTAATAAAACAAAATACAAATCCTTTATTTTAAGAACATTATATCAGAGCCAATTTTCTTTCCATCTAGCCCAGAATTGTCTACTCTGACTAGCAGCATCATTTCCTTCTTGTTGCAAGCCTAAACCTGCTTCATTACAAACATATAAATTAATTCTGAGTATTAAAACACACACTCTATTTGCCATTTATCTGATTACACTTCGGTTGCAACTATACCAGTAATGGAGTGAGTTGTCCCGAAAAGTACATACACACCTTGACTCTCAATAGAAATTCAGCTATCCATCAGTCATTTGGAAAATTGCCATAGCAGTTAACCTGATGGCAGTGCTTCACAGTGTAGGAAATGTAAATATCTTGAAGGTGTTTGATGCATTTAAATACAATAACTGCACTTGGATAAAGATTAATTGGACATTTTTCAAATGTGGACTTTTGTCCCTTTATGTTCCTGTGTGGTCACATGAGAATAGGAAATTTGAGGATTTGAGTTACATTATGTGATAGAGTGGTGCAAGTAGGCAGATATTGATTATTCAGTGGGTTTTCAGCACTGTATTAAGAGAAGCAAAGATGTTTCTTATTTTTATTATGTATTTTGTGGTTTAAATAATCTAATTTTATGTTGTGAACCACCATGAGATCTGTGGATGAAAGGCAATATACAAATTTTAATAACAACAACAACAACAACAACAATAAATTACTGTACTGTGGTGCCTTTTGATCAAGCTCCATTTCCTGAGGCTACTAATGTTGGTTTTTATCTTATTTGAATACAGTCATACCTTGGTACTTGTACACCTTGGTACTTGTACATTTTGGTTCCCAAATGCCACAAACCCGGAAGTGAGTGTTGTGGTTTGCAAACTTTTTTGGAAGCCGAACTTCTGTGGCTTCCAACTGAATGCAGGAAGCTCCTGCAGCCAATTGAAAGCCATTGGAAAGCCAATTGAAAGAACATTAAAGGAACTATATAAGACAATCAGAATAATAGACTTCCAAAGTTTGTTTCACAAATTATCCAGCAGTAGTGCATTTACTGGAGTTGTTACTTTCAGTTAAGGTAGGGTTTAATTTTTTATATCTATTTATCACTGTCTAAAGCTTTAAAGACTACTAAAATATAGTAATAATAGCCCCATCATTCTTATTTCAGTAAAATGCAAAATGATGAACAGATGACATGTTAACTATTGCTCAATGGCACTTTATAAAATATTACTCTGTTCTGAAAGCCTAAGGATTGCATAACTTCTGAAAGTGAAAACTGGGATATGGAAGAACTTATTAAATACATCAATCAATTAAATTCTTCCTTTGCCTGTTCCCACTAGACTGGAAGACATTCTTAAGTTGTTTATGGTACTTAAAGGCTAAGGCTATATTCTTTTACAAAATTACTAGGGAATAAGTTTTATTGAAATCAATAAGAGTAGCAACATGAGAATGGGACTTTTCAGTGGTGACTCCCCACTTGTGAAATGCTTTACTGAGGGAGACTAGCCTGGCACCATCCTTATCTATTTTTAAGTGCCAGGTAAAAGCTTTCCAGTTTACCAGGACTTTTTGACCTTAATTTCAAAACAGCTTTTGACATCTCTGTTTTTGCTTTCTGACTCTCTAGCAGTGAACAGCTCTGCGCCTTTTGTTATTGTGGGGAACGAAGCTCATTGGGACAAGGAGAACTTAAGCAGTTTAGTCCAACACCAGGGTTTATCGCTCCATGGAGCAACCAGTCTTTAAATAAGAGTGAAACTGGTGACAGCAATGACGGCATTTGTGAGAGTACTCCAAGGCAGAATTCAGTCCTACGCAAATCAAGAGGACAAAAGAAGTAAGTTTTTTTATGCTTACCAAAATATATACTATTTCAGTTCATGTTCTAGTCATCTGACTTGTAAGTAAATGTGCAGTAAGACAACATGCAGTTAGGGTTGCTGTATTTGTTTGCACTTTGCCTAAAGTTAGGGCTGCTCAACAACTTTGCAATTTTTCTATTAAAAAAACCCAACAACTTTTGGGGTGTCCTGGCAACCCTAGCCTTAGTAGGTGCTGAAAATAAAACAAACAAACAAACAAACATATTTATGACATAAAATATAAGGGGCCTTTGCCAATAGAAAGTGTTTCAGGAAGCAGTAGCAGCAAAATACATGGACAATTCTGTTTAAACAAGGTCAGTTAGATAGTAAGGTGACAAAAGCCAGTGTGAAACAGTGGCTAACCCAGGACAGGCTACCATGTAACTCCAGATGTTACTATACTCTAACTCCCATTGGCTCCAGCCAGCATGGATCACGGTCAGGGATGATGGGGTCCACAGATTAGCCAACCCTGGCCTATGGTGTTAGATTTTGATGAAGGAATCCAGGTTCAGTTCCTTGGTCAGGTATTAAATTTCTGTCCTGCCCCTCCTCCCGAGGATGCACGGGGCAGCTAACAGGGTTTCAAAAAGTACAATCACATTACAATCACAATTAAAATACTAACTAATATATATATCAAAATACAGACATGAAAACGTAATGCAGTTGATGGCAATAAGACCTAAGCAGATAACTTCCTCACTATGTGACAAAACTCAAGTGAACAGATATGTCTTTGATTGATGTTTTGAAGCAATCTGAGATGGGGGACAACCAAACTTCTCCAGAGTGGAAACTTCATATATAGGTGGCTCTGCTTCATGTCACAACCCAATGGGCAAATATTAGGAGCTGGATCATGAGCAGGGCCTCCCCTTCAGATCTTAAAGTAAGGGTCTGCAGATGCAGGAAGTACTTGGGCCTCAAGCCATTTAGAACTTTGCATACTCGTACCAGCACCTTGATTTGGTAGCCCCCCTCCCCCGTCTTTTCCATCTGATCTCTGCCAACACTGCTAGTGCTGTAGTTCATAGCATTAGGGATCTGTCTTTGGTTTGTGAGTTGGGGGGGGGGAGGAAACTTGCCTGACGCCCTCATCATCAATTTTTAGACCTTTTTATTCACTGAGGCCTTTGGTAGCTAAGTTGACCTCTGTGGTGGTGCCCATCTTTTTAGGATGGGTAGGATTTGTCATTATTTTCCTGCTTGGGCATTTTAAGTATTTTGTATTTTATGTTGCTTTAAATATTCTGGTTTAAAATGTTATTTTATCTTGTTATGTTGCTTTGATACCTTTCACATAAAGCAGCTCACAAATGTTATAGCCAATAACCATCATCATGCTGGGTCAGACCAGCAATTCTTCAGCATTTCAGACCAGAGATATGCTGGTCCAGCTCTACTGGAGATATCGGAGGTCAATCTAGGGTCCTTCTGCATTCAGAGCAGATGCTCTGTCACTGAGCTATGAGTCTTCAGTACTATATACTGATGAAATATAGTTTTTCATCAGTATGTAGTACTGCAGATTTTTAAAAATATAGTTAGGAGTTCCAATTTATTTCACTTTTATCCACAGCAAGCTGCTCCTTAAGGGGCTGCTTTGCTGCTCTTTGGATTCTGTGGTGCTGGCTGATTAGTAGTTGCTTTTGTAGCCTATGGGAAAGTTCAAAATTAATTTAGCTTGGAACAACTAGCCAGCTCTGTCCCCTGAGGATGGTGATGTAATCATACCCAAGTGCCATGCTGGCTGCTATCCAAGTTTAGGTACTAAAGCGATTGTTGTGTTGGAGTTCTCTGATTGGTGGCTAACCCTGGACTGCTGCCAATAGAATGAAGCAGTAAAGTGGGAAATGAAACAATAACAAAATGAAGCAGCCTTTTAAAGGGACTTAAGGTGGACCATTTTAATGAGAATTTGGATGGTCAAAACTTACAAGTGTATTAACTTATTTTTATTTGCATGGCTATGCTTTCTTTTACTTTCACCTGTGGGTATCAGCTTTAGCTCTGCCAGTCTGAATGCACGTTCTTCTATAGAAATAAATTACTTGGTTGTCCGCACATTAATCATTTTCAGTTTGACATCAGTGAAACTCAAATGCACATTTAACATAAATGAAGCTGGTATGCTGAGTTCAGACCACTGCTTCATCCTACCCAGCACAGTCTACTCTGGCAGTAGCTTTCTAAAGTCTTGCATAACTTCTTCTCCCAACTCATGCCAGCCCAGTAACAGTGTCTTTTAATTGCACTTTAGATTCCGAATAACATAATATTTCATTAGATAGTGGAGACTATTTGCTCAAGATTCAATAAAAGTATAAACTGATCCAATAAAATATTGAAGCAGGATTTACTATGAGCTGTGAGTTAGCAACGTGAGCCCAATGCACAATAAAGAAGCAAGTTAATCTAGAGTGTACTCATTTCCTAGGTTGATGCACTTGTGTCAGATACCTGAAAACCTGCCAATATGTATTTCTTTATTTTTCCATATAGTTTAAATGTCATTTGTATCTGGTATGTAAACCCATGTTATGTTAATTGCAATCATTTAACCAAATCTTGTATTCCACACAGAGAGAAGTCTCATCAGAGCATAACATCTTGTAGAAGTATAAGCACTCAAACTACTCCTGATGATCAGGTAGTCAAATTCTGGGATGAACTCACAATGGTTGGCTTACCAGATGACATTGATGTCCAAGCCTTATTTGAGCCAACAGGTAGTGTACTACTAGAATATAGCTCCATTCAATATATTGTATATTTTACTTATTGTTCAAATTGAATGAAGTTGTTTCTTTGAAAATATCTCCTTCCTGCTCCTTTTAAAAGGAGAAAATATAAGAAAAATGTTATTATTACCACTGCAGATTTACTGGTAAATGTAATTCCCATTCTATCATAACATCAATAGTGAATTAGCTGAACAAATACTAATATATTTCAGTGGGTGTATATTTCATAGAATCATAGGATTGTAGAGTTGGAAGAGACCCCAGGGTCATCTAGTCCAACCCCCTGCAATGCAGGAATCAATGTCTATCTTTAAGTTCTAATGTTCTTTTTTTAAAAAAAGAGAAAAAAGTACATTCTTTCAGTCTAAGGATAAAATTATGTCCTTAGAGAGAGACAGAATACTTATTTCCCTACTTTGCTATAAGTGGTTGTGGATCAAACTTAAAGTTATTTGAAAGACCTGGAGTTCTTAACAAATTAAAAATGATAATTTTCTTCTCCAGTCATTATGTCGGTTTAGCATAGGGGTCAGCAAACTTTTTCAACAGGGGGCTGGCCCACTGTCCCTCAGACCTTGTGGGGGCCAGACTATATTTTGAAAACAAACAAACAAACAAACAAACAAATTCCTATGCTCCACAAGTAACCCAGAGATGCATTTTAAATAAAAGGGCACATTCTACTCATGTAAAAACATGCTGATTCCCCGACTGTACTCAGGCCGGATTTAGAAGGTGATTGGGTCGGATCTGGCCCCTGGCCATTAGTTTGCCTACCCATGGTTTAGCAGATGCTATCTATACATTTTCCCTTTTGCTGTTCTGCAGCAAAAAGCTATAAAACTAATCCATTCATTTGCTGATCATCATATGTTAGGTTACTGCTGGGCTCATCACCGCTGTGCGGAATGGTCACTTGGAATTTGCCAGACTGAAGAGCATCTACCAGTGAGTGTGGACAAAGCTGTTGTCTCAGGGAGCACAAAAGTGAGTTAAAAGTAATTAAGATTCCCTCTCTCTTAAATCATTTAAAATAATCATTCTATTATAAAATGTTACAATTGCAGAAAAAGCATCCCTAATGGAGTATTGATTATTTGAAAATATGTTTTCCTATTTCTGAATTGTGTCACTTTCAAATATTAATTTGGGTGGTAGATCCAATGAAGACAGAAAAGGAGTATTGTGTTTGTTCTACTAGCAAACCCAGCTGGCAAGTTCTTCCATGGATTAAATATTCAAAAAAAAAAAGCTGGAGTTAGCTGGTGCTTGATTCATTTCTACTGCTGATCTAAATGGCTCTATTTCTGTTCCCAGTAAATGCAACTATATCACTCTGCTCATATATCTGTATCAAACATGGTTTATTGTCACAAGAGTGAGCCTTTGCAAGCCTTGACGTCAAATGCCTTCTCCTCACCTTTATTCTTCTGGCATGGTCACAGGGAAGAATTTGAAGCTTTTGCTATGATTGTTTTTATTAACCATCGTTCGTTTTTATTTTTGAACTCTAAACTGTGGTTGATCTTAACTATTGTTTGTTGAAACAAGCTCATTTCATGACCCATGGCTTGAAGCTGGCATGCTTTAAACAAATCTTAAGATAAGCCAACATTTGTCAGGTTTTGATCACATGACAAGCTGCACTTAATCTAAAATCAAAGCAAAATCTTTTGAACCTGTTAGAATGGAGTATGCAAGCCCAAGACCCATGCAGGCTTTTACCCATGGTTTGAGTTATCCTTCAAATGAAACCTATGTGTCCCTAAGGTGAGACAACCATGTAGTAATTTCCCATATTTCCTCCCAACTATCAAAGCTCCAAAGAGGCACAACTTCAGGTTGAGTCCTCCAGGTGTTTTCTGCATTTTGAAGTACCCAGAGATTTTGATCCAGCAGATTCACTGGCTTGAAACATTGTATTTGGTTTTCAGTAAGTGTGAACACTACTGTAAATAAAGGTTTTTACAAAAAAACAAAACCTTTTTTAAGTTGGAGCAAAGAAGGCTATAGTGAGATATGATGAAGATTTTCTAGGGTAAATAAGGAAAAATATCTTTATGAACAAATTTTAAATTATTTGTGCATACCGTGTCTTCACAATTATACTGATACGAAGAGTATAATAAGGCTTGTTTGTGAATCATTTTTTGAGATGCAGTGGAACCTCGAGTTGCGGACGTAATCTGTCCCGGAGGCACGTCCGCAACTCAAAGCGTTCACACCCAGAAGTGCTGTGCATGCACACGGTGTGATTTAGCATTTCTGTGTGATTTAGTGCTTCTGCGCATGCGCGAGCAGTGCAACCCGGAAGCAACTATTCCGGTACTTCCAGGTTGCCGCATGACGCAACTTGAAAAGAGGTAACTTGAAGCGGATGCAACATGAGGTATGACTGTATTTGAAACACTTTTTCATAAGTTGTTCTATTTTCTGACTCTAGACATTCCCCTTCCTCCAAAAAATATCCCAATTGGTTGGAATTTTACTGTGGTTTGGAATCTTACTGTTCTGATGACAGTATTGTGGATTTTATATGTGCACAGATAACTGTACTTAAAGGTTTTCGATATATAGTAAAAGTAGTGCATAGGTTGTTTGAACTTGGCTAATTTTTCATATATTATTATTATTATTATTATTATTATTATTATTATTATTATTTTATTTTGTCTTGCATGGTAAGCCATGAAAGCTTAACCCTAAATATCATATGGCAAGAACATTTCTGTTCTATTTGGAAGGTTTTCCCCGTCATTCTCATGGGTTGGAATCCAAAGCGATAGCATTAATCAGGGTCTAATAGGAGATTTGGGTGCTCTTCTGTTTTTGGGACCACTGATCCTGATTGGTGAAGGAACCTCTATCCTCACAGCTGATGCAGTTCCTCTCAACAAATGTTACTGGAGTGGTGTAGGGCTTGGGATAGGGCTTGACTATTTGTGGAAGAATGGAAGCCCTTTTGGGAATATGTGAAAAACATCCTAATCAGATGAAATCACAAGCAGGATTTGAAACATGAGTAGAGGAAGAAAAATGACAATATTTGAAATAAAAGAATATGCTTTAGGTGGAATGTCTATTAGAATGTGGTATGTAGATGGGGTGGGATTTCAGAACAGCATGGAAGAAAAGGCAGGAAGTCAAAGTTTAAAGTGAAATGTATAACAAACTTGAAAGCTGGAATTTAAAGATTATAAAGTTTGATATTAAAAAAAGTTTAATAAAAATCAGATTCCATGCTCTAGTAAAGTATGAGTTGAGGAATATAGTCCTACTTCAAAAAGACGTATTGTTTAGTAGTTAACATGCCATGCTTTTTTTATCTAGTTGAATAGCCAGAGTAGTTCACTATAGTAATTTCCTTCAGAGTATTCCACTTTCCCAAGGGACATACTTTGCTTCTCTTGCTAATCAAAATGATTGGCCATCCCACAGTGCTCTGCTCCAGGAAAGTTTATGATATTGCTTTTTTTCTGTTTAGTGTTAAAATGTTAATGGATAGTGTGTGTTTTCCCTCTGAGCAAGTCTGTTAAACTACTTCTGAGACTGGTAAGGTCCTTTACTTCTTTGCTTTTTACCAACTGATGCCAATAATTTAGCACATGGTCTGTTCTTTGCAAATGCTTGGTGAAACATCATGTGCATACAGTAAATGAGACTTAATAAGAAAAATGGCATTTCATTTAGTTTAATCAGTTTAGTTTTTAGAGAAAGTCTCAGACAGTCAATAAGGATTGCTTATCCTATTACTTACTCTGGAGTAGTTCCATTGAGAATGCATTGACAGCACTAGCCATCTGTTTAGTGCTGCATTTACAGACCCAATGCATCACTGGGAATTCAACACAGCATTATTCTGCAATAGAGGTTCCGCTTCAATAGGTATCCTGATAGCGCTATTGCTGAAAGATGTCTGTCATTGTCATCATCTTCATCATCCATTTTTTGTAACATACCTACTTTTCATTCTACAAATTCAGTTGAATATTAAAAACACAAATCTTGCACATTAACAACTGTTCACAGTTGCTACTGCTCATTCAGATATGCTTGAACAATGAAGTACCATTGTAATTCATTGCCCTGACAGGCGTGCCATTGTAGTCTACAAAATATTTTTAGTTATTCCAGGTTGAATTCAAGCCATGTACTTGCTTGCTTGTTTTACAGGTGCTAGCAGTATGGGGTCATTTCATTCTAAGATATTTTGGCATTGTCCACCAATAAGAAAAAATAGCTTTATTTCCTCCACTGAAGTGCTGCTTCTGATTTCTTAGTAAAGTGCCAAGAGAATGTCCTGTAGGAAATATTCTGTGTGAATGCACTCTTGGCAATGAAGTAGGAAAGCAGAGGCAGTCTTGCTTTTCTTAACTTCAGTACTATGGAAAAGCGCCCTTTCTTGAACTCTACATTTTGTATGTCAGGGTACTAGAATGAAGGAAGAGAGGTTGTTGCTACAAAGAAATTTCAAAGAAAGTTTGATGCTGAATAAGATCAGAAGTACAATGAAAGCTTGGAAGCTTAAATGCTTTGGAAAAAGACAGAATAGACAAGGGCATCCAGAGAGAAACTGACAGAGAAACCACAAAAATACAAATAAAAAAGCTTGAAAGACCCCATCAGAGATGCATAAAAGGACTTATGTTCCTGAAGGAATTTCCACTGTACGCTTCCTTTATGCACTAGCACTTAGCAAAGCTGTTTTCCGTGTGTACCCTGAATTAACATATTATCATTGAGTTTTAAGCATTTTTATTTCTTCTTGCATAAATTGAGTAGGAAGCACTTAAAAAAAAATATGGCCAAAATACAGTACTACTTTTTCTTTTCTTTTCAGACACTTCCTTTAAAATTGCTAGAGGTCACGGCCCTGAAATAGGGGATTGAGATTGCTCTTCCTCACCTGGTCTTGTGGTCTTTTAGTTTGTATACTTTTCAGCACAGGTGTTGCATGTATCTACCAATTTTCTTTTAAGCAAGCCTGAGATATGCTTCTGAATACCAGTTGTTGAAAACTACAGGAGGGGGAGTATGCACTTGTGCTCATGTTCTGCTCTCTTGTTTCCCACAAGCATCTGATTGGCCACTGTGAGAACAGAATGCTGGGCAAGGTGGGTCATTGGCCAGATGCAGCTGGCTGCTATTATGTTCTTACGATGCTATTTGGATGTGATTTTGTGATAAATTTTGGTGGTGAATTTGGACTGGAGTGCTGGTTCACTCAGAAGTTAATTGATTTGAGCATCTTTGGTGGATTTTTAGTTCATTTAAGGGTTAGTATACTACTTTTCAATGTTGTAGTGAAGACTTACATTTCAACAGGAGTGTTAGGCGTCTTTTTGACATGATCTACTTAGGTTGTAAATATTTGGTGACCATATGTGACTTGAATATAGAAGACATGTAATATGGCTTCCAGAATATGTTCTTTTAATATTTACATTTATTATGTCTTCTGTGCTCACTGATATTGTTCAGTGATGCATTTAAGAAAATGTTCTTTTCTTATATTCCAAATGGGAATCAACAGCTGGGAAAACTGATTATTAATGATAAGCAATAAAACTAGCTGTGCATGAAGTTGTGCTGTATGCACAAATAAATACTGAGAAACTAATTTTATCTTAATTACTTATAGTTACAAACAGTTCTTAATGTTATAACAATAGGAGATTTGTAAGTATTTGGAAGTAGGCAGTGTGTCACTTCTCAATCAGTAGTGAACAGTTGAAGGAAATGGGTTCAAAGAATAATTCCAGCACCTTATAGGTTTATATAGGAGGAAAGGATATATAGGTGTGGTGTTGTAAAGTGATTTGAATATAATATGAGAGATTAGTTTTTAAAAACCCACCTTGGCTGAACTGAGCAACCATAGATAAGCTTTATTATTCCACTTTGGTACTACCTCTTCTGTATAATATTGGTGCGATCAAAGTTGCCTGTATTACAGGGTTGTTTCAAGCATGGGACGGCTTTTGAAT